AAGAGATCTACATAAATGGAAGAACATATCATCATACTCATGGATAGGAAGATTGAACATTGTGAAAATGTTAATTCTACCCAAAGCAATCTATACATTCAATATAATCCCAATCCAAATCCCATCAACATTTTTTAAGGCTATGGGAAAACCAATCACTAATTTTATATGGAAGGGAAAGAGACCTCGGATTAGCAAAGCACTATTGAAGAAGAAGAACAAAGTATGAGGTCTCATACTGTGGGATCTCACACCTATTATACACCCACAGTAGTCAAAACTGCCTCGTATTGGTACAATGACAGACATATAGACCAATGGAATAGAACTGAGAACCCAGAAATAGATCTATTGACCTATGGTCAGCGGATCTTTGACAAAGGGCTGAAATCCAATAAATAGGGAAGAGAATGTTTGTTTAATAAATGGTGCTGGCAAAACTAGATATCCATTTGGAGAAAAATGAAACAACATCTGTACCCCATACCATACACAAAAACTAACTCCATTATATTAATTATAAAAATTAGTAATCCACCAAGGAATAAGTAAGTCTGCATTTTCTTCCCTTTCTTACTTGTTTTTATTGTTCTTAGTTTAAATTCACTGCTGTTTTATTTTTTTCATTTCAATGAGGCATCATAAAAATGAGTCAAATGCCTTAGGCACTATGCCACCAGAGCTCCTCCAAGCAGCTACATAAATATAAAACAAATCTAAATGTATCCTAGTCAAAATGCAGAAAACTAAAGCTAAACAGAAAACTCTTGAAAGCAGCAGAAAGAAAACACCACACTACAAATGAGAACAATGACACGAATGACCACTGCCTTCCCATTAGAAACAATGGAGGCCAAAAGAACATGAACGATACTTTCAAAGCATTTAGAGAAAAAGACCACATCCAGTAAAAACATCCTTCAAGAATGAAAGTTCAATAAAGGAATGGTCAGATTTACAAACACTAATAGAATTTGTCACCAGAAGAGTTGCACTACTAGAAAAGCTAACAAAAACAGTCTAGGCTAGAGTGAATCTTCAGGAAGAAATGAAGCACACTGTTGTTGTTGTTGTTGTTATTTGCCATCAAGTCAGACCCGACTCATAGCAACCCCTCCTTGGGTTTCCGAGGCAGTATCACTACAGAAGTAGATTGCCCCA